CAAAAATAAATAAATGTTAAAAAAAAATTAAAAAAAAAAAATTATTTGCTCCCACCCCTGCATCTGGAAACCTGTTTCACCAAGGGAGATTCCTTAACCGTCTGGATCCTCAGAAGTGAAAGCAGTCATTCATTATCGTACAGTACAATAATGAGAGCTGCTAGTATCTGTTCACATGACAATTTTTTTTATATGATGATAATGTCCAACACAGGTAAAGTCATCCAAAAGGAATGTCCTAGGGGTTAAAGGGAAGAAAAAAAATCTTCTAACGAGGGGCATCTGTCATAGTGATTACCTTAATTTGACAGTGGCAGGTATGTTGATCAGAGGTTATTAGAAAAGTATGGTTTTATCAACCAGTTAAGGTACACCCGTGCAGCATTCCTTTATTAGATATTTTCTTAAAATGTTTAAATTCTCTCTTTAATATTCATGCTGCCACAAAGTCTAATCATGCAAAGAACTCTGATTTTTTAAAAATAATGAACAAGTTTGAAAGGATAAAAAGAGTCATTAATAGCATATTCTGAAATAATCTATGAAAGAATATTATAAAATAATTTTCATTCTTTATAGGTAATTCTAACTAAACATACTTTCTTCCAAATCTATGTAAAGGCAAAATAAGTTAATAAAAAAAGTAGGAAATCTATCTATCACAGACATCTGGCACCATTAAACATAAAAAATCTAAGTGCAACAACTAAAATATTGAATAAGACAAAGAAGTTGATGTTTTACTCACAAGATTAGGAAACTCCAAGATTAGGAAACTCCACAACACAATTTCTGTTTAGCCCATAACTAAAACTATTCTAAAACTAGCAATGACTGCCAAACTTACCTCAATAAAGTACCTTAGTCCTATCTGTCTACTTTTCCTAAATAAACTGTGGGACATTTATTGGTTCTAAATTATCTACTGTCACACATCATACCCATATATCAATGAAAAATTTTAGTTTCATAAATGTATCTTTTATAATATATATTTTTAAGAACTACACTGATGGGGGCACCTGGGTGGCTCAGTTGGTTGAGCGTCTGACTCTTGATTTCAGCTCAGGTCATGATCCCAGAGTCATGGGATTGAGCCCGACATCGGGCTCTGCACTGGGTGTGGAGCCTGCTTGGGATTCTCTCTTTCCCCCTGTCTCTCTCCCCCACACTCTAAAATAAAAATTAAAAAAAAAAAAAAAATACCCTGATTTAACTTCGATATTCATACTTATCTTTCAAAATGTTACATCTCTTAAATAAATATATATTCCTATCTTTAAATATCTGAAACAACCAGGAAACTGAAGAAATGTGTAATTCACAAAGAAATGTGATTTGATAAAAAAAAATCAGATTTGATCAAAGGTAATAAAAGAAAAACGTAGTTTAATAAATTTATCTTTGAGAAAGATAAAAAATAAGATAACACAGAAACATCTACAGTATGTATGACCACACCAGTGATAGCAGAAAAATGTACTATTTTCATGGGGGAAAAAACCCAAAAAAATTCCAAAATAAGATAACGTACATTTTTTAATTATTATTTTTATATTCATTAAAATAAAATTATTTTTTAAATTTATTTTAATGTTTATTTTTATTTTTGAGAGACACAGAGAGAGAAAGAGAGAGGGAGAGAAAGAGAGTGCAGAAGTAGGGGAGGGCAGAGAGAGAGGGAGGCACAGGATCCAAAGCAGGCTCCAGGCTCTGAGCTGTCAGCACAGAGCCGAACGTGGGGCTCGAACTCAAACCGGGAGATCATGACCTGAGCCGAAGTCAAATGCTCAACCAACTGAGCCACCCAGGTGCCCCGATATTTCTATCCCAAAGTTTCTCCTAACAACGATAACTAGAAAAATAGTAGGCACAGAAAGAAATTTTACTTTTTACTTGTAATTACTGTACACTTTGAAGCCTGTGTTCTTTATGTTACAATATCCACTGTAAATTCTTCAGAAATCTAACAGATATGGAGACACGATAACTGAATGACAAACTTATTTCTAGATTCCCATTGCTGTTTCTGTCAAGTTGTTATTATTATTATTTTTTTAGTACTCTCTACATTCAACATAGGGCTTGATCCCACGACCCCCAAGATTAAGAACTACACGTTCCTCTAAGCCAGTGAGACACTCCTCTGTCAAATTGTTTTTCATAAAAGTAAATCAAAGTGGAATTCAATCTCTCTATGCATGTAAACATCAATGGGGATGACAAGAATAAAGAATCTATAAATTTGCATCCTGTGAACCAAAATGTTTCCCATTGAGGAACAGACTTTGAAACTCCTTTCCTTTCTGAATTAGTGGTTATTAATTTTTAAGTGATAAAACTGCTTCAGTGAGGTTTAATACAAAACCTCCTTTGGGAAGACTGTCTTCCTCAGTTATAAACTAATTATGGATTTGATCATTCTGCCTAGACATTTAACAATCTTATTTCAACTTTTATTGTAAATCATTTTATAAATTTAAAGTCTTTTAGAGAATGTTAAAAAAAAATTCTCCAGGATAATTTTCTAGGCAACAAGTACCTTTGCTAAAGGTTTATTCTAAAAATTTCACCACGATCTATCTCAATTATTCAAAACTTTTACTCCTCCCAGTGGATTTTTTCATCTTCAGATTCAATTCATCCACTCAGTTTTTTTAACTTTTTAAATGAGAAATCTTAAGTACATATTTTCCCTTCATAGAAATTTAAAAATCACAAGTTTAGTAATTCTAAAAGATGGTCTACAGTTAATGTTTTTTGCAAACTTGGATTCTTTCCTAGAATATATTTATTTATTTTTTTTACAAAACTTAATTACAAAATATAATTGTACCCAAAAATTACATCATACAAGCATACCTCCACCTTGAAACCAAAGCCCCTAAAGGCCCAGGACTTCAGAATGCACACAACCAAAAAGGTCAGGTAGATAAACCATACGTTTAAGAACATACAAGCCAACAGAAGGGATCTATGAAGGATAATCACCTTAAGAGAAAAAACTTTGTGCAGATGACACTGGTTCAAATGCATTCCCTTGGGGAAAAAAAATCAACTCTGTAAAGATAGCAGATGGATTTGTTTAAATAGTAATAAAATTAACGAGGGACTTTAATAACCATCACAAATTATCAAGCATGCAACCATACTACAACAAATGGCATTTTTTTTTTTTTTGCCCATATAGCATGTTTGTCAGACACTGACAGATGGAAATTTCAAGCTTTTTAAATTCATAGGCATTTAGATCTAGCAATATAACATAATGTGGGAAAAAAAGTTTTTACTCTCAGTTCAGCAAGAAAGTCAAAGAGCTTCCAAGGGCTTACCACTGGTGGATCAACAGGTGCTGGTGGTTGTACTTGTAGGTTTACCGCAACAGTCTGTGGAGGAGGAAGAGTCTGAAATGGCAACTGGACCAAAGCTTCTGCAGCTGGAAGCTCCTCTTCTGACACCAAAGCATTCTGCACCAAAACCTGGCCCTGGGATAGAATTTCAGGCTGCACTTGTAAAGACTGCATAGACTGCAAGGGCAGTGGTGGAATCTGAGCTGGAGGAGATGTCGACATCTGTGGAGGGGTTGCAATTGGGATTGGAGAGGACTGCAGGGTTGAATATGGCTGGTGTGATGTTGGAGACACAATCTGCTGACCTGGGGACACCAAAGCGGACTGCTGAACTGGGCCAATGTGTACGACAGGGGAAGCTGGAAGTGGAAGATGGGATGAAAGATTCAGCTGTGCTGTAGGTTGCACCTGATTAGCAGTGGACTGCTGCAGGTTTGACCCTGGCTGGAGAGCTGATGACACAAGAGGGTGTGGCTGAATAAGTGCTTGTGGATGAATAATTATAGTAGGAGACTGACTTGGTGAATGAGGCGGTGGAGGAGACACCACTACAGACTGCTGTGCTGACTGTGACTGGCTAGGAGACATTGTTAAAGAAGGGGGATGGCTCTGAATTGGTGAACAATGCTGTGACTGGGCATTAGTAGGTGCTGGAGGAAGGCCATGGTTTTGGAGTGGCATACAGTGCTGGGATGGGGGTGGGTCTTGAGTTGGATTCTGAAGTGTGATTGGCTGAATTTGCTGTTGCTGCTGTTGCAATATCAGCTGATGATGGGAAACCTTGGGAGGTGGTGAATGAAGAGGAATCTGCTGATGTTTTATTAGAGGATGAGGCTGAATTGGAGGATATGAAGCTGTGAGAGAAAAAAATGACAATTAGTATTTTTTCCAGAAATATCATAAACATTTTTAAATAAATCTAAAGGAGGCAAGTTTTCACATCAGAATGTCATAATCTCCAGAAATCTTTTATAAGACTTTCAGACAAGAGTGATTTGAAAATACAATAACAACTTTTCCTCAGAAAACTATAAAGACTTCATAAAATAACCTTACTGTGATAAGGTCAAAAGAAAAATGGCCTAAAGCAATTGATTCATACATCTGAAATATACACATGATTTATTCTTATTAAATTTTAGAAGTCATCAGAATATCTGCAGTAACTTAACAAAGTTTATCCATCTGAATTCCTTCTTTGGGGAGAAGAGAAGAAGTACCACGAACAAATGTAATATGTATATAAGTAACTTCAAAATCATAAATATGCAATATCAAAATTCATAAATGTCTCATCTTTTCTAATCTACGTCTAAATACTCTTCCAACTAATAGTCAATGTAATTATTTATAAAGCTTCCCAAATAACTTTCCAAATTTGAGCCAGGATGAAAAGTTGGTATTATTTGACTCAGAAAATGTTTTGTATAAAAAGTAAATTCAGCTAAGCAAAACACGTGTCAATTCTATACCACTGTTCAATAATCACTGTAACTAAGAAATAAAATCTCAGAGGCCATTCCAAATCTAGGAGAGCATTAGTTTTGCTTGCAGAGAGAATCCATGCTGTCTAAATAAATGATCTTGTTTAACTTCTCTCCCTACCCACCAAAAATAAAAAAAACCAACAACAAAACCTACAGTGATCTATCACTGATACTATCAGTTTTCTCCACACAGGAGTCACTCACAACAGGGATAATATATGTAAGAATTAGCAAAATCAAGTAGTAAATATTTGTCCCATCATTATGCTTCTTCTGCATACTAGTGTGTATGTTTACACAGAGGGGGATGCTGGGGAAATCCTGTTTACTTAAAAATGGACACTAGGTTCATTAGAAGATAAATTGAAAAGATTGCTTAATATCATATAAAAGCTATATACACTTAAAATAGGTCTAAAGACTCTGCAACATTTTCTTTAAATCTCAGAATGTTAAGATAAACCTTGCATCTATTTTTGTACTTAACCACATTTGTGGCAAAAAGCCTTATGAAACCTTGTAACAACTTTAACATTCTTGCATTTGGTTGGTTATCATTTAAAATTTGGAGATCCTTTAAGGAAATTAACATCTGATTAACATCTCAAAAGAGAGGGTTCAACAAATATCCACAAATTGTATTAAGAAAAATGGAGATTAGGTCTAAAATTTCATTTAACAAAATAATTCTCACATAACTAGATTAGCACTTCAAATTAAGACTGAAAATTTTACACTAGTACTTTATAAATGTGTTGATAAAGATTATATTATAGAACATTCAATAAAATCTTGAAATTCTTTTAAGCTTTTTTTTTTTAATATTTATTTATTTTGAGAGACAGATATGGAGGGCTCATGTGCATGGGGAAGGGGCAGAGAGTCCTCAGCAGGCCTGATGCAGGGCTTGAGCTCCCAAACGGTGAGATCATAACTTGAGCCAAAATCAAGATTCAGATGCTTAACTGACTGAGTCACCCAGGTGCCCCCAAATCTTGGAATTCTAGAGAGTGCCTTTTCTCCAAAGGGCTCAAGATACTATTTTTCCTCTTTTAAATATAGGGAAATAGAGTTTTTTCCAGGATAACAGCAAAAGCCCATTTTAGTTCAACTTTTTGAGTTGTAATTAAAATTTACCACTCTTTTAAGTTTCTTTTTAAGTTTATTTATTTGAGAGAGAAAGAGAGCATGAGTGGGGAAGGGGAAGAGAGAGAGGGAGAGAGAGAGAATCCCAAGCAGGTTCTGTACGGTCAGCACAGAGCCCGATGCTGGGCTTGAACTCACAAACCGTGAGATGATTACCTGAGCCAAAGTCAAGAGCTGGATGCTTAACCAACTGAGCCACCCAGGAGCCCCAAAATTTACCATATGATTGAAGTACAATGTACATCATATTTATGGGAATAAAAATTCCTTCTCAGCTCTAGCAAATAAGCAATCTTTTTGTATATTCTAGAGCTGATAATTCAATACTCTCTCACCTAAACTAAATTTTTGATGAGACATCAAAGTGAGTCTATATATTTTATATTAGTCCATAAGTCCAACTGATAAGCATATACATTACAAAATAATTAAGAGAATACCTGAAGCAATACTTCTTTTTACAAGAAAAGCCCTAGTGTTCTGGAGAATATTATGTTTCTTAACTTCTCTGATTTTAATAAGTATTATTAAGATGGGTTTATATTTGGAGAGTTAATGATTATCATACTCTCTCACATATGTAGAATTCTTTATTTTTTATTTTTATTTTTTTTAATTTTTTTTTTCAACGTTTATTTATTTTTGGGACAGAGAGAGACAGAGCATGAACGGGGGAGGGGCAGAGAGAGAG